CTCTAGGGTTCCTAAGAATGAAATTTACACGAATTTGATTTTTATAAGCGCTTGATTCCGCGCATTTAAATAAAATCTTCAAAATATCGATTTTTGTTAGTTTAATTAATTTTTCCTTAATTTTTTTTCTTTTTGAAGATTATTCCATTATTGAACCGTAATTCTTAGGTGAATAGATAGTAGTTTAAGTATACCAAATAATAATTTGCTCAATAAATACCTACCATTAGCGACAGCGTGCTGAAAATGAGTGTTTTTTAGTCATTTTTCGTGAATTTTAAGGGACTCTAGTGTCTTAACTGTTTGGAGTTAACAACTTCTGGTCGGCAGGAATTAAGTACACATATCAGAGATAAAATTCAGCCATTGATCGACTTGAGCCGCCCACTCAATTCAATAATGGAATAATCTTCAAAAAGAAAAAACTTTGAGGAAAAATTAATTAAACTAAAAAAAATCGATATTTTGAAGATTTTATTTAAATGCGCGGAATCAAGCGCTTATAAAAATCAAATTCGTGTAAATTTCATTCTTAGGAACCCTAGAGAAGAGTCCCTCAAAGTTACACTAAAATCTAAAATGGGTCAGCTTTGCCGATTAGACGATTTCAAATGGAATGACCCATTCCCCAATAACAAAACAAAAGAAAAACAAAAATCACTAATTTGTCAATAGAATGATAATTAAGTAGGACAATTGCTTCTTGATCGCTAGATATTTTGTCATCTAGTGACAAAGAAAGAATTAATCCATTAACAATTTTAATTCCTTAATCGCTCTACAGAGGCAGCACCAGTATTTACTTGGTAGTTACTTTTTATATGTAGATAGTATAAAAATAAAGATTAATAACAAACATCATGCAATTTTCGCCTATTACAACTGTTTTCTGTTATAGAGAATCCTCCTCCTTTTTATTTAAAAATAGAACAATGTAATGTCATGACGCACTTTTTTTTTTATTTGGAGCATGTCTTTCTGCAACAAAGAAGCATGTCCGCAAATATAAAAAAAAAACAGTTATATTTTAATTTCGAATGTGAAATAAGTGGAATTAACTCTTTCTGTCATTTTAAAAAGCTCGTGTTTATACTCTTCTCTAGTTCATTTGTCTTTTGTTAACTTTTTAGACTGATGGCTAGAGAGTCAAGCTAATTTCTTTTTATATAAAAAATCTTTGCACAATTAAAAAAAAAATCTCTTCCAGGATTCGTAGCGATTACTCGCTCTGTGCCAGGATTTGGATTTAAAGGTATACTTCAATTAATAATTTAAGGTTTAGAAATAATGTGTAAAAGAGATATTTGGGATTGCGTTTAATTTATATAAAACATGAATTAAGCCAGTCAAAATGCCTGCCCTAGGGGAAACCTTTTCTGTAATATATTAATATCACGTTAAACCCCTGAGTTTGTATAAAGGTTCAAATGCCTGTTTTCCTATTCGTATCAATTACATTATTCCATATATATTCCACCATTATTTTGATAATAATATTATGTTAGAACTAAATCAATAGGTATATATAATAAAATCGTAACTGATCGCTGTCTGTACATAAAAGATATGTAAGAAAAGCTATTATAACCGAAAGGAACCCAAAACTTTAAGAATTTTTGTCCGTTTGTCTGCTTGTTTGTATGTCTGTACGTTTGTGCACGCTTATCTCAAATGCGGTTTTCGCTAATGCGTTGCGGTTTGCTCCACTTAACATTTAGTATTTGTTTTATTTCAATCGCCTCATACTGTAAAATGCTATACAAAGCATAATAGAGTACTTTATATACTGATTCACGCGAGTGAAGCCGCGGGATACTGCTAGTCTTAAAATAAATATCTAAATGTTATGGCTAATTGATGGAATAGGTTTAATAATGCATCATCTTATATATGGCTTATTTTAAAGGTATATATTTTATTTAGTGTGGTATCTACTTACTTTAGTACTACTTATACCTATATTTACTACTATTTCTTACTATTAATCATGTGAGGTTGTCGCCTTTTAGTTTCAAAACTCTCTAGCCGCAAAAAGGCCATGGTCGTGAATTCAAATCTCCGAAACACCATAACCTCATCAAATCGCCAAACAAGAGCTATCCGATAGAAATGCACGTTAGTATTATATCAGAAGCAAATAGCAAAAGTTATTTTCCTAAATTTACCTCGAATCGAACCCTGCATCTCATTTACTACACGAAAATCTTTAATCAACACGTGGTCTTTGTATTTTAAACAGACACTTTTTATAAGCCTTAATTATAATTTACTAATTGGTCATAAAGTCAGTAGATGCAGGTAGCTCAGGACCATCCCTTATGGCAATCTATGCTGAGAGGCCTGTTTGGTGGACAAATAATAGCTGAAATGATGATGAAATGATCATAAAAGTAATATAAAATTTGTGAATTTTATTTTATTCCTCAATAAAACATCGTAAAGGCGAATAGGACTAATCTCTTCAGATTACTGTCTATACCACTTAAAAGCTTACTTATAGCTAATATAGTGAAACAATAATTTCTGTAGTACAAAATCATCTCATTTCACATTCAGAAAGCGCCTTTCCATTACAACCCAACTAAATTTAACAACCACTTTCGTCGTCATCTTTTTCCGATACCCATTTGCTTTAAGGGCCACTCTGAGTGCACATTCTACATAGCCGGGTTATATTTGCAGAGCATTGCACTTTTGTCGAGTACAAGCCCGTATCGTAATGTTGAACAGTTGAAAAGTTTAAACATAATGTTTAGTACATTGCTGCGCTTTTTAAGAGCCAGTACCAAAAAGTGTAGGTTTTTTAATTTATCTGTAGATATATTGTTTTGCAAAAATACGATAAGGTCGTCAATCTTCTTTTTAAAGATTGACTTATCTCTCTCGAAGAGTAGACTTTTAATTCGGTTGTTTTTTTTTTTACATTTATTACCTCATAACTTCATTAGTTATAAACAAATTTGTAAAATTCTTTTTTAACTAAAAGGATATACTTACAGATTGGTCTCATAGAAATTTAATCAAAATCGGTTCAGTAGTCAAGTTATTAAAACAAAATAAATGATTTTGCCACAATCGGCATCTGATTTTTTTGGGAACGCGATCTTAAGTTATCAAATTTATTTTGAAATCAATACCGTCTAATCCTATGGTGGTATTACCTTCCCTATGCTCCTCAAATATTGCGTCTAAATTGCGCCCACCAAGTACCATCTTGAATAGACATTCCGTTACCCATATCCAATAGCTAGGACGAGATGCCTTAATTACTGTACCACAAACCATAAAAAAATCCCATGCTGGTCCCATAATAATTTTATTTGGACGTCAGAAGTATATATTTTTTTTATAATCTTAAATTAAATATTTATATACATAATAACCAACTAATGAATGAATTCGTCACGAGGGACCAACTGTCCGGACCTCATCCTCGTCTGTCATAGCGTCCCGCTAGCATATACTAATAGCGCAGGCGGAATTGCCATTACTTATTCATGCCTCTTAAAGGAAACGATTATTTACTACTAGTTTTTATTTATTTTTTCTTTATTGACCACATTACAAAAAATATTTATTTTTGTACCTTTTATTACACAACTTTAAGAGTATCACTAATATATACATATATTACAATTATGAAGTACAAAAGGAGGACTTAACATACTTTTCCAGTCAACATTTGCAAAAACAGAAATGTAATATTGTGTAATAAGTCTAAGCCTATGTCCATCTCCATCACGTATCCAGAGTACCTGTACCATGATACCCCTATGCGTTGCCATTCCTGAGGACTCAGGTGTTATTCCTCTGTACCCAGTAAATTCACGCCATATCCCACCCTTCAAACCGAAACACAGCCATGCAAACACAACTGCTTCACGGTTGAAACACGAATGAGACAGAGGTACCCAAGCAATCGACTTTTGTACAAAGTCTCCCTCTGGTAAAATAATATTATAAATATTAATTTCTGTTGTTCATCAAGATTTACCTACATACTTCCTTAGAGTATAAAGTGCCTTCAACAATACAACACGAATAAAAAACTATTATCAGGTATCCCCTGCTCAGCAGTTACTCCCGAGCATAAGGTTCAATGGAGCTGTAAAAGCCTAGCCATTACCGTGTAAGCCGATTTTATTCGGCGACTTGATTCTCGGTGATCCACTATCGAGTGGTTTGGTCACGGCACACGGTGACGATAGTAACACGAAATCTTGTTCTGAGGCACATCTCTTTTACTACAATATATATCGGATTTAATATAATACTCGGAAACGAAACTACAAAGAGTTATTGATTAATATGCTTTCAATACTCTCTTGCACTACTAGCTCTCTAGAAGGGGGTAAGGGATTATTAGTAATGCGGACTACCAACCCCTGTCAGGTCGTGGTTCCCCCTAAAAACCATTGAGCTGAATTCCAGCTGTATTCATCACGATAACTGACCTGACTTTTCATTCTCACCTATCATCCCTCACTCGTGCCCTGCTAACGTAAACTGTTAGCGCAGTTTACGTTAATCTTTCTATTATAATCTATTAAAAAAAAAACTGTCACTCTGAACAAGTGGCAACAGAATCATTGCAATCGTCATCGCTAACGGGTCCATGACATGGATCGAAATAGCCATCTCATTCCATTTACCGTGTGGTCCCGTCATAGGCCACTTTTTCCTGTCCCATGGGTGTCGTAAAAGGCTACAACGGGAGGGCGAGAGATGGGCAGCAGCGTCCCTCTTAAAACATCTCTATTAGTAACTACCCGCCTACGTAATGTTATAAAAATAAGTTTTCTATTTTCATAATAAGATAAGTTAACTTACCAAGTAGCTTAAATAGATATAATAAGCCACTTGGATTTTATATTATTCACCTAGAAGTCCATAAATTTTATCTTATGCAAAGAGCGAGAGAGCAAAGAGAGAGAAAGAGAGAGAAACACCCACGCCCATCAATAGGATAGAAAATAAACCATTATCTATTATTGTTACAGGCGTACACACCGACCGGTTTCGAAAAGTATGGCTACACATGCACCGTAGCCGACTATAGAGTGAACTTCTCAGTTTGGGACACATCGGGTAAGTTTTTTTTTTTTTATACGTCAAAGGTGGCAAACAAGCATATAGCCCGTCTGACGGTAACGATCACTATAGCCCATGGATGCCTGCAATACTAGGGGTGTCACGTGCGTGTTGCCGACCCTGAAGAAACCTTAATATATTCTTTTTGAAGAACCCCATGCTGTAGTCCCTAGTAAGTGCTAAAAAACTGATTCATTGTAGTTACCAAACGTTTTGTTTAAAACACTTCTAAAGGTAAATATGCCAGTATAATGTGAAATAATAAAACTATTAATATTTTTAATTTATTTAATTATTTATCAGTTTTTTAATAATTCTCGTCAATACTTGCTATTTATTGTGAGGACAACCTCCTCGCGTACCTTTTTTTTTAACTGGTGACAATGAAACGGTAACTCCGCCTGCGCTATCGGCTGGCCAAGCACCAGTGAAAGATGACAATCATGGCGAACTCAAGAATTAACCACGATGGTTTCTAGAAGGAACCACGTGCAGGTAGATCTGATAGGGTATATTGCTAGCAATTGAGCTATTAGAACCCCATTACTAACAATCCATTCTTTCCCCTACGTGTAATGGTCGTGGTAATTTTTGTTAAATTCATAGACCAGATAACCTGCTCTCTGATAACTCTTCGACATATAACGCAAGCAAGGTTACCATTTTATTAACATTCATTAAAAAAAAAAAACTATATTTATACAATTAATAAATAGATCATATGATACAAATTTCCATAAAATGGGTCCTCAGTCTGTTAAGGTATAGGGCTTTAAGATAAAATGAAATGAACTTGGCTGGACGCGCTACCGTGTGTACTAGTTATATGTATATGTAAATGTCAAAAACTGGTCAAAATTCAATTAGCGAAAAGTTACTTTCGACTAAAAATGTATTATTAATGGACTGGCACGTGTTCATCAGAAGTGTATACTAAATGAATCGTATTGCGATTCATGTAAAGCTGATTTTTTAACGCCACTGATCGCGTATCCATAGCCGAATACGTATCCATTATACGACAACAAAAGTCACGTCACGTAGTACCCATCTGCCTTGAAATGGGACGTAAATCGAGACAAGTCGATCGTCACGCCATCTGCCTGAACTCGTTCATATTCGTACGTCGCAAAACATGCATGATGAGGAGGTACCTATTTTCTTTTAACAATGTGATACCAATAACTTTGCTATCTACACTTCACAGACACGTGATTATAGCATGTTGATGCCACGTTTTATATGTTACTATTATAATAAATACGACAATGTATGAATTGATATTTATTACTCTTTCACACTCAAGGTACTGAACTAATTTAAATTGAATTTGGTATTGTCGTATTAGACATTAACTGTCCATTGCTGAACATAGCCTCCCCATTAAGGGAGGTTTTGCCAGTAGTTGCCACGCTTGGCAGGCGGATTGCAACCGCAGTTTCTTTTAATGGGTGATAATGGTATGGTAACCCCGCCTGCGCTATCGGTATACACTGACGGGGCACCAATGTCTGATGACAGATGAGAATGAAAGTAGGCCAGTTAGCGCATCCTGACGAATTCAACTAGAATTAGTCACGATGGTTTTCAGGGGGTACCACGTGGAAGTCGACATGACAGGGTATATTGCTAGTAATGAGGCTATTTGACCCCATTACTAACAATCGCATTCCCCCTGACATACGCAGTTAGGCTTTATAAAGATGTTTTAAGAAGGACGCTGCTGCCCATCCCTCGTTGTCCCTTGGTCGCCTCTTATCACACCCACGGGTAAAAAGGTGTAGCCTATTCTATACTAGAACCACACAGCCAAAGGCAATTGAATGATAATTATCAAAATCGATCCCACGAATAACGAAGATCTCGTAACATGCACACAAAAAAAGTACAATCATAATGAGTTATAGTACCATGAACATAACAGAGTATACTGTTTCGCCCATGATACCTCCATGCGTTGCCATTCCTGAGGACTCAGGTGTTATGGCTCTGTACCCAGTAAATTCACTGGCATATCCCACCCTTCAAACAGAAACACGGCCGTGCAAATACACCTAATAATGAGATAAAACACAAATTCATCTGAGGTCTAGATATTACCGAGATCTAGAAAAATTTAGATACATCTTTTAATATCGTCAAATCGATAAATAAAAGATGTTAAATCATTTATCTTTTTCTTTACCATCTGAGATTGCAGTTGTAAATACACTGTATAACATTACTCCATTTAAAGTACGTATATGACATGAATAAATTTATTTCTACAAACCAAATAGAAATAAATCTAAAGACGATACGAGTTCTCGATTATCATACTGTGGAAATACGTACTTAACTACAGTTATTGAGTGCACTTTACATTCATTTTCATAAAAGATAGCAGTTTTATATTATGTAGTATCTGCAGTCGTATTGGAGCTATTGAAGACATAAAAACTGTATATTTCCTGAATGACCCAGAATTTTATCGTAATACATGGATTCATTAGAGCTCTGAAAATCCATAAACTGGACCTCGATAATATTAAAAAGTGTATGTAAAAGTTATTAACCTAGATAGAGTCTAAGCCCTACATCAGAATATCCATATAGAACATAGCTGTATGAAGAAAGTTCCTTTGTCTTTCTCGATGAGAAACGACTACAAAAAATATTGATTAGTCCAGGACCGCGTCACTTCGAACAAAAATAAGTTATTGTAAAATCTAAAAAATCTTTAGAATGGTAACAAATTAAATAGTTGTATAAATATTACTATGAATGTTAATTTTATTTATTATAATAGCACTTAAGGTGGTTACATAGGTATTTTTTTCTATTTCGGTAATATAACGTGTCGACTCTTGAATAAGGTAGTCATTATGATTATTACAGTTAAATTTATTTTATTATTAAAATGTATTATTATTATTTAAATTATTAAAATGTACAAAAATTGTTTTACAATATTTATCTATTGTTTATGCGAAGAAAAATTCTATATTTTTATTTTACAATGTTATATCTTATTTATATGAAAGACAGATGGCCTTACGCTTAAATTAGCAAAAATATTTACAAAAATATGTGTTACAATACTCTCCCATGAGTTTTTTAAAGGTTCCGTTAAATTAATAAACAAAGTACGGGCATGATACAATAACAGATTAAACCGTCGGCACATTTCGATGTGTTCCAAAAAATCACGAATGTCACATTCGCGGATATCCATCAGGTTCGGTATAAGTCACGATTTGCCCATCGGCGTAGGAATGGGACATAAATCGACGAAGCCGGCGACAGATCGAATATAGCCCGATATTCGGAGCCTTTCATTTGTTTTAGAGATCTATGTTAATATGTCTTGGATCGCATTTTTACCGACTTCAAAAACAAAGGGTTTAAATTTTCTTTCTTCATGATTTTATTTTAACATTGCATTTCGATACTCAACCTTATGAGTAGAGTAGAACTTCAGGCATGATACATATTTTAATCGTTATCTCCCAAAACATCCCTTTCTGTATTTTTATGTATATGTTATGCACTTAGATTATATAAATAGAGCCTCGGGCCCGAATAACGGGTAAAATTTTTGTCAGCTGTTTTTTTTATTAGTATACTATTATATTTATATTTATTAGTACTCATACAACATATTTTGACGTATTTATATTTAATTATTTAATAAATAAAATGAGTTCTTGTGCATTAAAAAGGCGCAGAATTTTAAGACTAAATAAATATAGAAGTTATAAAGGAATTACTTATAACTGTTTATCACGTAAAATTGTACGAAAAAATTGACCTGTTTTTCTCGAAACATTTGTATGGAGACACTATGTCCATATAATCTAAGGTTACGCAATATCTTATATAATATCAGTTCTAAACCGATTTTAATAAGTCTTTTCCAATCGATAGAATTTAGCCTATATTAGAATTTAGCCTTTTACGACATCCTATCCATTCCATCTTAAAAATAGTAATTATACTTTTTTGAAGCTTCAAATGGTAAACAAGCCGACAGGCCACTAGATGGCAAGTAGTAACCGTCTATAGATATGAACAGCACAATGGATGTCCCAGAATCCACTATAACGTCCATGCAAAACTTTTTCTCACTTTTTAATCCATTTTTGTCTGATGAAAATATTATAATTCGCTGGTGTAACACTCCCTTCTTCTCCCAATTTCGACTACTCTTTATATTGGCTAAAGTCCCAAGTTATAAAACTCAAATAAAGACTAGAGAATAGTTACTTTTGTTATTCATAACGCGGCTTTACCACTTTTTATTCGTCGCCCATAAAACGGTGTATGGCCATAGAAGAGAGATACGCGATTTGGCGACAAAATTAAATTTCAAACGACCTATGCACCAAGTTTATACCATCGTAAACGACGTGTGTAAAGTTTATTAATATTACCACAGTGAAATGTACGTGTTTTGTATTTAGAACAACAAAAAGTTTTAATTACCTATGTACTTAGCTTTATTTTGTTTCGTGAAAATAACATTACAGAGAATCTGTGTTCGCGCATCTGCACGTGTTGTCAAAATTAATTTAATTTGTACTTCATTAAAATTTTAGTTCCCGTGTGATCCCGGCATAGAATGAGCCACGTCTTCCTTTCCCGTGGTTGTCGTAAGAGGCGACTAAGGGAAGTTAATAGTTGAGAAATGGGCAGCAGCGTCCCTCTGGGAAATTGGCCTGTGGATATAAATTAAGAGCAGCAATTCAATATTATTTTATATTTGTCTTTACTAATTTAATACTAGGAAGCCATTGTACATCTAGACTCTAGCACAACTCGAATAGAAGTGAGACGGTGATGTACGAAAGTAAACGTCAAATACGTGAGTCATTCAATGTCAGTCTTTAGTCAAACGAGAGATAAATTTTTGCACATAATAATTTTAATAATATCAACACGTCACCTCAAACATTAATCCTTACATTCATTATCATTTGCCTTAAGAAACAATCATATTAAACCATAATTATATAGTA